TATGATCATCAGAAACTGACATTCTCTTTACTCTTTTAGCGGATGCTGATTCAACTTGCGATTTAATATTTTTTGTTTTGTTTATTTCTGTAATAGAATCAACTTCATCAAGAGAAGTGTATTCAATTCTTTTAATAGATACTGGTTTAACTTGCGATTTAATATCCTTTGTTTTATTTATTTCTGTAATAAAATATTTAAAATTAGCCAATGACAAAGTGTCACTAAAATCTATAATTAATATTTTGAAAAATGTAAACAAACTTTTCTTTATAATATTAATATTAGATACAGCCTCTGATTCAATAACAGATGAATTTGTTTGATCATCAGAATTGTATTCTTGGTATTCTGAGTTAGGCATCAGATTTTTATTTTGTTCAAGTCTCTTGTTATTAGCTGAATAAGTATTTATGATTTTGTATCTTTGCGTTGGAACTATTATAGATGCTATTTAGATATTTTATAATAAATGATATAGTATTTGAAACCAAATAAATCACCTTTTTTTTGCCTTTATTGTTCTTAGATATGTTTTGCGACGAGTATTATCACTTATATAAAGAAACATTATTTTAATTAATTTGGAAAAATTCAGATCTCATCAATTAATGATACATACGGATAATGTTGATCTTGTGACGTATAAGATAATATAAAGCCCAATCTCCAATACATTCAGAAAAATAAGGATTCTTTTTTTTAAACTATAAAAACATGTAATACTAGTTTAGAATTGAAAGAATCAGAAAGTTAAAAAATTATAACATACCTTGTGTATTATATTAATCTTAACATTTTTAACAATATTTTTATATTCAACATTACTAGAAGCATAGCAATCAATGAAATCATAGAAAGCACTCTAATAAAAGGTTTGTTAATGACTAGATTGTTAATATTTATTACATCTAATCAGTTTCTTACTCTATAACTGTTATATATGACCTGTCTAAATTTAGTTTTAAATATAACTTTGTATATTAGCTTTTTTCAGGTGAAGGTTTTGGAATCAGCGAAGTTGCTGATTGATCATTTGGTATATTAATTATAGAGCTAGCATTCTTATCCTTTGAAATAAAAAATGTCAAATAAAAAAGATTTGGTATTTTTGTTATTTTCAAAAAAAAAGAGAACAAAAAATATTAAATCGCAAGTTGAATCAGCATCCGCTAAAAGAGTAAAGAGAATGTCAGTTTCTGATGATCATA